TTCAATTATTTCAATTCATTTCAGTTATGAAAGCAGCAACATATCAAAAATAAAAAAAAATAAAGATTATGTACACAAATTATTATTATTATAATTATTCAATGATTATTCAATTTTAAATGATCTCAGCAGGCAAAGTTTATGTTTAGGTCATATTTGCCGGGGACACATGGAAACCTCATTTCAATAAAGGGAAGTTGATTTAAAGGGGTCATATGATGCGATTTCAATTTTTCCTTTCTCTTTGGAGTGTTACAAGCTCTTGGTGCATAAAGAAGATCTGTAAAGTTGCAAAGACTAAAGTCTCAAATCCAAAGAGATATTCTTTATAAAAGTTAAGAGTCAGCCACACCTACCTAAAACGGCTCGTTCTAACACGCCCCAACATACCTACGTCGCTCTGTGGGAAGATTTGCATAACGCCGCCCAAATGTTCACGCAAAGAAAGAAGGCGTAACTTTTATTCTCGCTGTAGTATTGTTGCCGCCGCCATATCCTGAAGACGCTGTGTGCTTCGTTGTGAAAGCGAAACTACTTTGTTTGGTGTTCGAAACGAGGACGATATCCGCTTCATGCCTAGAGCTGATCCGTGCTGGTCGCTGAGGGAATACAACAGTATGGTGAGAGGCGTAACATTTCCGTCACACACTTGAGGTATTCGGCCAATCACAACGCACTGGATAGCTGGCCAATCACAGCACACCTCGCTTTTTCAGAACGATGCGCTTTGTAAAAATTGACACGTTTCAGAAAGGCGGAGCATAGAGGAGAAACAATAATGTACAGTATGTGGAAAATAATGTGTTTTTTTAACTTTAAACCGCATAAACACATTTCATTACACCAAATACACAAAATAATGTTCTTTTTAGCAGCATATCATATGACCCCTTTAAAGAAAATAAAATGTCAGTTTCAGTCTTTGGGAGCAGGAGGTAAATGACACTGATTATGCTCATGGGTTTATTTTTGTCCACTCGTTCGCCAAACCAGTAGCGTATTACGGTTCTAATCGGTATATTGATCTTGTTTTGGCTCCATCTGCACTCGCTCTCATTTCACACAATGTGTGCGAGCCTCGTAGTGTAATGCTGTTCGCTGTTTCTCTGTCTTCTGACCTTTTTGAAGGTCACAAGCATGTGTATGTGCATATATGTCACCAGCAGTAATATCCTGATGACAGCAGTTTGTGTCAGCTTTGACATTTGTTTTTTCTTTTTTGCATGTCACACAAAATTCCAAAAAGATTCTCTTTGTGTATTTTGTTAGACCAATGTTTCAGATGACTCTCTTGGCCTAAATGTTTTTTCTTACATGCAGACTAAGATCTGATATTATTGACTGTATTGATTGATGATGTCAACAATTTTCTGATTTTGACACCCAATTTGTATATTCAAATTGACATCAAGAAAATACAAGAACAAATATCTATCTAATGTATATATTTGAGTAAATTCAAAAGCATAATTAAAATTATACAGAATTTATTTAAAGCCAAATTCTTTTTTCCTTTATTTTTTCCTTTTATTTTTTAAAATTAAATATTTTAATACATTTTTAAAAATTCCGTATTGTATAATTATATACAGTATATATGTTTCTACCTTATTTTATGACCAATTCTAGTGTATAACAGTGTACATAGTATTTGTATACTATTATATTTTTTATTAATATTTTTAATTAGCTTTTTATATTTTCAGTTTAGCATTCATTTTGATTTAAATTTAATTTGTAGTCATTTTGTTATGGTCGTTTGTCATTTTTTATTTTTATTTATTTAATTTGTATAAATATTATAATATTTCTATTTAGGTTTAATTTTTTTTTTTTCATTTAGTTTTTTCATCATTTCATTTTTTTCCCTGTTAGTAATTTTAGTGCTTCAAATTTTTTTTTTCATTTAAGTTGCCAAGGTAACATTTCTAATTTTCATTTATTTTAAGTTATTCATGTGATATTTATATTTTATTTCAGCTTTATTTCAATTAACAAAATTGTTTTTAATAGTTGCAGTTAACAATAATAACCCTGGTCTAGAACCACACGACGTGACAAACTGGATAAACCATGCTCAATCAAACATAACGCCTAAGCACTCTCACAGCACAAAGAAGTACTGGAGAGCACTGGTTTTCACTGTTAATCAGAGTCTTGTAGTGTAGGGTTTGGGGATTGAGGTTTCATCTGTCATTTTTAAGAGCATCAAAACACACGCTTAGGTGAAATGGACTGCAATCCATATAGAGCCTCCAACAAGCCACTGAACATTTGCCTGCTTCCTGTGATCTAGACGTCTATCGATCTTTTGAGTCTAAAGAATGGACTTAATGTGCAGAGCGGCAGGTTGCCCGACTGTGTCTAGTTCTTAGATTAGACTGATCAGGACTGGAAACAACTGTACCATAGCACAAAAACACAGTTGGCAAACATCTGATAGTTCTATTAAAAGTAAATAATTATTAGTATTATTAATACTCTTATTACTAAAGTCAAATTGCAAAACATGGCTGCAGGCTGGTCATGTGATCTCAGCATGGAGGACATTGCAGTGGATTTTATTTGAAATATCTGTTTTGGCAAATACAAATCCAACAACGAATTTGACTTAAGTAATTCAATTCACCTCCTCCTCCAAAAATCTGCCATGTCAATCAAGTGCCACTACAAAATAAAACCCAATCTACCATATCATTTAAAAAAATATATATATATACAGAAACTAAATAAGCTGTTACCTGAAAGTGTTTTTGTTTCAGTTAACAGGACAAACTAGTTTGATTTTCACTGACCCCGCAGGTCCTCATCACACATATCCGAAATCATGCTGATCATTGTTGTATATTTATTTACTATGAACATCACAGCACTAATTATGAGCTGCAGAATGTTTCAAAAACAGCATGCTTCCATCTTAGAAACATAGCCAAGCTACGGAACATGTTACCTGTTTCTGATGCAGAAAAGCTAGTTTATGCATTCATGACCTCAAGACTGAACTATTGTAATGCACTGCTAGCATGCTAACAGGTAGTCCAAAATGCAGCTGCTAGTGTCCTAACCAGGTCAAGAAAATATGATCATATTACACCAATTTTACAATCTCTACACTGGCAATCTCTATTAAGTTCCGTATCAGTTACAAAATATTACTACTTGCTTATAAAGCCCTAAATGGTTTAGCTCATGTGTACCTAACCAGTCTTCTACCACACTACAATCCATCACGCTCCCTAAGGTCACAAAACTCGAACTTTTGGTAGTAAAAGTCCACTAAAGGAGATTGGAGATTTGGCTCCCAAACTCTGGAATAGCCTTCCTGATAACGTTTGGGGTTCAGACGCACTCTGTTTAAATCTAGATTAAAGGCACATCTCTTTAGCCAAGCATTCACATAATGTATCTCATAACCTTGTTCTCCAGTTATATCTGATCAAATGCACATTATCATTCTTTGCTTGGTTTGAACGCATAATTTTTTCGGAACACCTGAGAAGAGATGATGCCAACCCCTCAGGGGACCTCAGATGACGACAACCCTGAACCAACATACAAAACGACCAAATTTTGCTATAAGTTTGATCGCAACATATAATCATTGCTGTTAATAGTGTTCACTGTTTGTTTGAAAACATATCATTAACTAACTGCATGATTTTTACTGTACATTTCTGCCATATGGACATCACCTTGACATAGTCACCACTGATAAGCTTCTCCTAAATGTAATGTAGAAACATTCATTTTCTGTTAAGCTGCTTTGCAACGATTTGTATGGTGACAAGCGCTATACAAATAAACGTGAATTGAATTGAAGTAACATCTTGTGGCTACAAGCATACATAAACCATACTGATAAACTGTGATCATAGTAATCAAACAGAAGTTACTATCTAAAAGTCATTTCCCTCAGGCATTAGTTTATTAAATTAAGCTAGCTTTGAATTAGTAAAGGGCAACATGCATAAAACATATATATATAGTAATTAGTAATTTTGTTGTGTTTTTGTCATATTTATTAGTTTTTTTATTATTAATAGTATGTTTTTATTTATTAGCTTTAGTTCATTTAGTTTTAATTATTTTAGTACTTCAACTTAAATGAGAATTTAGAGAAATGAGAAATAAAATAAGTTTAATCCTGAAATTGAAAGTGAAATTTACTCATCACTAATTATAGTTAGTGATGGGCTGCATTCTAGACTATTATTAAACAGACGTACTCATATTCTTATTACTCATGCTGTCAAATTAATGAACTAAATATCAGAACAATCTCTTACTTTTTCAGTCCGTGCCTGTGTCTTTGCTGTCATCCGACTGCAGGGTCTCCACTTTGGAATGGCCATTTACATTCAATGTCATCAATTGTACGAGTAATCTCATTAAATGTGGAGAGAATCATTTTCTAACAATAACAGCAGAGAATCAAGAGTCTTGCATGACAAACTGCTCTTATTCAGTGTTGTCCATCAAAATAACAGGAAAAAAAGATGTCTGCCAGTACTTTGTCTATGCAGTCTGTGTCATAGTGCTGCTAACTACTTCCTCATCATGTCTGTGTTTTAGTGCACAAGTAGGAAAACAGGAACTATACGTTTTAGGAACTGACTACACACATTTTGCATTACTCCACCTTAAGAGGAACATACATTACCATCAATGCCACCGTAACGTCTAAAGCAGGTCTACATCCTTTCACAGTGTGAATGATCACATGACATCTGGAGTCCTGCAGCACCACGGACAGCACCTACACTTCCTATATAGATGGATAGATGAATAGACAGAATATAGATAGATAGATAGATAGATAGATAGATTCCATTGCAATTAAATACTGACCATTTTCTGACCAGTATATTCATATTCATAATTGTGACATTTCATTAGTAAACAAATGGTTTGCATCAAAAATATTTCAAGGTCAATGAAAGACCAAATCTGCTTCATTTACCAGGAGCCTGTAAAATAATGGTATAGTCCATCTGTACACCCCTCCACACTGAGCTCAGATGAAACTGCCCATCCTGCAGTGACTGCTGGGAAGACGCGCAGCTGAGGGAGGTAGCAAACTGAAGAGGTAAGAGTAGAAATATTCCTCACAGGCAACAAGATCAGGCAAATACCAATGTGTAGATTTTTGTAGGTATTGTTTGTTAAAGTTTGAAAATGGCAGAAAGAGGATATGATTCTTAGCATGAACCAGGAAATAAGAAGTAGCAGCTAGGGGGAGCTATAACAGACAGCAGCTGGCTGAAGACATCTACTCTAGATGGGATGCAAACCAACACTTACATTGCTTGAGAAAACACAAGGAGATGTTGTATTGTTGTGTTTTTGCTTGATAAAGTTGTAAATGTTCAGTCTTGATCCTAGAGCTGCTAACAAACATCCAGCACACTGTAAAATGAGAAAGCTTTGTATAAGAAAAAATGACCTGAAATACTGTAGATATATTCAAATAAAATACTGACTTAAGTCCTAAATCTCACTAAAATGTGTTTAGACAGTTCACAGCCTGTAAAGTGATGTAAGATATGTTTGATATTCAGGCTAAGGTCTAAAGCTGCTTATTTTTTTAAACCATTTACGATTATTTAACATCTATATGTTTTGTAGATATAAGCATGATTATAATTCATGTGTATTTATACAATAGTGTCATTTACATTTGACATTTCTTTTTAATAATTCAGATCAGAATTCAGTTCGGTTCAGTTCAGTTCAGTTAGGACTAGATAAAACAATCCATTGTAACTTTGCAGCTCCTACTTTATCTCAGTTCGACCAGGTTCTTGAAAATACATCAATTTATGATATCAGAAGTAAATCAGATTTTTGATTTTTTTTTAAATTGTAAAAAAAAAAAAAAAAATTCTGTGGAACACAAAAGAAGAATTTAAAGGGGTCATATGATGCTGCTAAAAAGAACATTATGAAAGGAAAAATTGAAATCGCATCATATGACCCCTTTAAGAATTCTTCAGCTCTTTTCACATCCATTCTCAAAAAAGGACAAAAAAAAGTTCAAATTGATCCATGAAAAGTCCAAAAATGTTATACACATGAGTTTCAGACAGTTGTCAGTCTTTGCATAAGTGGCAGGAAATTTTCAGTGACTCATTCTGCAAGTTACATAGATACGTCAGTAGGTGGCGACAAGTGACTATTTTTAATGAGTGAATCATTCAGTCAACGGATTCATTCAGAAAGGAAACAAACGACCGTCCTAAAGAGTGAGAGATTGAATGATTCACTTAAACGATTCATTCAAAAATGCTTATTTAGGAAAGAAACGTGTGACTTTTTTGAGCGAATCACTGAATCATTCCGCCAAACGATTCGTTCAAAAACGATGATTCACTCTGGAACTAAACAAGAGACTGTCTTTATGAGTGAGTCATAGAATCATACATTCAACTGATTCGTTCAAAACGCTTATTCATTTCCGAAGGAAACAAGTGAATGATTCATTTAACTCAGGGGTGTCAAACTCAATTCCTGGAGGGCTGGAGCCCTGCAGAGTTTTGTTCCAACCCTGCTCCAACACACATACCATGTAGTTTTCAAATAAGCCTGAAGGACTTGATTAGTTGGATCAGGACAGGTGTGTTTAATTAGGGTTGAATCTAAACTCTGCAGGCTCCGGCCCTCCAGGATTTGAGTTTGACACCCCTGATTTAACTGATTTGTTCAAAAACGCTTATTTAGCAATGAAACAAGTGACTGTCTTTATTCAACCGAGGAATGAAACACAACCTACTGTGTGCTGCACAGAGACGCCAACAGCCTCAAAAAATTCATAAAATAAATATAAATAAATAAATTACCGTATTTTAAGTGATAACATTGTGTGCCTTTGTATCGTCAGTTTCTTCTTCAGGTAAACATCACTGGGAAGGACTCTTCCTCCAGACGCAATGGCTGAAAATGAGATCGTAGAAGACCAAGACAAGCTGAAGAGGGGTCTAGTGAAGGTTCTGGAATGTGTGGCCACCATCTCGTCTGCAGCAGCGGTGGTCAATCCCATCTTTGGCGTGGCTGGTTCTCTCATCCGGGTGGTGCTGCACCACATGGATGATGAAGACATTCAGAAACTCAAACAAGAGTTTGGCAGCGTGACTCGAGCCCTGGATGAAATTTCACAGCAGAACCAGAATGTATTGCTTCAGATCAGGAAGGAGACTGTGGATGGCCTGTACTGTCGTGTAGAAGAAAACATTCGTAATCAGTTCTCCAAATTCATGGACACTGTGGAGGTATCAGCAGCACACGAACAGCGCAAGAAAGAATTTCAAATGAGCTTTGTGCTCAATCAGTGTGACCAGAACCTCCACACACTGTATGGCGGCGTTATGGGCGAATCAAAGATCTTCTGCCAGCCCATCCTAGAGGTCTACATGAAACATTCACAAGGCGACCAGCGTGTCATGGAAAACCTCTGCACTCGACTCACATACCTGTTCTGCATCGGCCTCATTGCTCTGATGAGTTACGCTGCCATTGTCGGGGATGATGAGGAAGCTCTGCGCATCAAGTGGGAAGAGAAAATGAAAGATGTGGCCAAAAAGATGTCAGAGGTGTTAAACAGTTATGAGTGATTTTACCCCATGTGACCTTTACCCCACTTTTCTCAGCCAACTTCACTTTTATCTGTCTTTCTATGTTCTTTATCTATTTTATCTGTCATTGCCCTAGTAACTGCTGTCCATCTAGTTGTATGTCTATCCATCTAGTTGTCTGTCTCACTCAGAAAACTGTAGCAGCTACCTTGCAACCACCCTGAACAACCTGTTAACCCAATCCTACTGTAGTCCTGCAAATACTTGCACTTTTGAAACAAGTTATATTGAACTGTCATATTCTGATGTTATTTTTTGACAGTGGTGTACTCGTCTTTCTGTACAGTGCACTCAAACTGAATCTGCCCAAGCCAAAATCAAAGTAATCATTTATCTTTAATGCAAAATAATGTTACAAATCTTTAATTCCAATATAGCCTTAAAATACTTTTCTCATAAATCTATATCTCTCTAGAATGCCATTCAATTGGTATATTTTTTGGCATTGTTTAATGTATTCTTCATTATTATGAATAAACAAAGATGAGGAATACACAAACTCTTGATTTCATTTCAAGACACACAGTTTAAGTCGGCCACAGTGAGCAATTACGATGTTTTTGTATGCATAACTGATGAAACCATATCTATGAAGATTTTTGAGTGTGTGCAACTTCTCATCCTGACACTAGATGTCCCAGATTTCATACAAGATTTAAACACACTAAAAACAAATACATTGTGACCGAGCTAATAATAGTTGCAGCTTCTTTTTTTATTATGAAGGGGGAAATATATATATATATATATATATATATATA